CTCGTTGTCGCTACTTGGTCTTGTTGTCATGGCGACTTGGTAGAACGCACCTAGTCCGAAGTCGTCTGCCAGACTAGTTGTCATGACATTCAGCGTCAGACAGTGGACTTGGCATATTCTCAAACGTCTTGCCGTTCTCCACACCAAGCTACGAACTCGTCAAAGCGACAAAGCGAAACGTTCGAGAATGTACCAAGTCCGCTGTCTGATGCTGGCAATCATGACTCGACTTTGGTGCACACAAACTGCCCTCGGGATAGAAGGGAACTCAACAAATGAAGGCCAGACAGCATGTCGAAGGCCAATTCCGCTTGGCGGAGAGCATCCAGCAAGTCTGGAGGACGACGAGACTTGGACGTCGTCTTCTGGTGGAATCGACCAATCAAATGAAGACCACCTCAAAAGTCGCTTTGTGATTGGGCCACCAGTTAACCCCGCACCCCGGACAGTCGTGAAGCCAAGTCGCAACGCGTTTGGAAACTCACTCGCGGCGGGACTCGATAGCAACTGCGTGAAACCGACCAGTCGACGCGAACGGTCCCATCTCGTCCAGTCGTCAAGTCTTACTCGATGCCAGCATCAGAAAATTCGCTCATTCTTTTCAGGCATGGTGCATATGCCAAAGGAAAGATGGACAGGAGACTCGGTCGGCAATACCAACTCGTGTGTATTATTCGCTCTGTTATTCTTTTCTCTCTCTCTCTCTCTCTCTCTCGAACCCAACTTGGTCGAGCTGTTGGACATAAATGTGCGTCCTACGCATTGAATTTAAGCAGTCTAGCAGCATTATCCCGTTTTTCCCCATTTGGTGCCGGAGGGCGGAGAAGTCGACATGAGGTGTGACAACACAAAAAATCACCAATACCACCCCCAACCTAACAACCAACTTTAATAACACCACCACTACAACGCTCGGAACTACAATCACAACTGCAATTTTAGGATGTGGTAACTTGGACACAGTGCACCTCTTGGAAAGAGCTTGGCCTCGGTACCAGCCCATCGCGTCCGGAGGGGTTAGCGCGCTGATGGCAGTGACTGTAACCATTTCGAGGTATAGGCCAGTTCGATTCTCCACCCCGGCGTCCAACGGTCTGTGAATTACCAATTTTTAATATTACCGAACCAAGACAAATTACATAAATAGTTAGGGGGACCTTCATTTCGAATAAAAGTACATGAAGAAGAGATTCGTTTGTCGATCTCACCAGACGAGGACGGATGAAAATCGTTGTACTGCAGCCGCTTCTCGGCACCAACATTCTCTCAGCTACAACTCTTCAAGGAGACAAGTTGAGTTGAGTCAATCCCTTCCATCCGACGTCGGTATTATGCTGTGCTCAGGAAACGCGGGTGTGGATCATAGAGACGGGCGGTGAGGACAATGTCTGACGTCTGCAAGCATGTGAATCATAGCCAGGGTGCGCTGTTCGATGAAGCGAAAGTGTGCGCGCTGCCAAGGACGTGAGAAACAGGGCTTAGAGGAAAATGGGTTCTGTGATTGGAACCGAGTGAAACCGGTCAACCAGCAAAGGTCGGAAACGGAGCTACGAGCCCTTGAAGCGGGTGCGGACAGGAGTTGCGATTCGGATCAGCGAGTCGAGCGGAAGGGGGGAGCAGTAGAAAGTGGATGTGATGACGCCACATTGACGTCACCAAAAGGGACACACTTGTGGACGAGTTGAAAATATACAAGAGCTTTATCAGATCTACCGGAATTCTCGAAAATCCTTTTATGAAACCAATCATATAAACAAGTCGTGACGGGGTGGGAGTAGGCAGATGTGCCAGGACAGAAAGAGAAACGATAGCACACTCGTTTGGCACAAAGTTGGTCAAAGGATTGACTTGACTTGTCTCGTTGACAAGTTGTAGTTGAGATTTGTGCCGAGAATGGCAAGACTCACCGATGATGCCGACCACGATGCCGCAGAAACGTGTGGGAGCTATGATACCGGTTGCAGCAGAAGACTTCAGGCAAATTGCGTCCCACTGGGTAGGCTTGATAACACGACCAAATTGCGAAAACGAGGTCAGACCACTTTTGTACATAAAAAGGAGACTCTGGTACAAATAGAGGCAACAACATGTTGGTCTTCATAACTATGTCAACTAATTAATAATTATTTATTAATAATTATAGCAAGTACACATTTGCAATTGGCAAATTGAAGCAAAGGGTATGCAAAGCAGAGTACTGAAATAGAGTTGAATAGAGTGGAAACTCGCAGCGCGATGAGCTGTAGTTTTATGCGGTATTCACCCTATTTCGTGTAAGCTGATGAAGGACTGGTAGTTGAAGTTTCCCATGCACTTCACACAGCCCTGCTTCCCAAAAGTGGTTCGCCTCTAGGCTGAGCTGCAGTTTCGGTCTCGTCTAGGTTTTGTCAACATCTCCAACTGAACTCGAACCATGTATTAGTGTCGAAATTATACGTTGCAGTGTCCTAGTTCGAGTCCTTAGGCGAGATTGAAACTGCAATCCACTCGTGCTCGCCAGGTTGTGTGCAATTTCAACAACCACTCCTTCATCGTGTTAAATGAAATGGGCTGAATCCATCTCATATTAGCTCTGGTGTTGATGTGTTGGTGTCAGTGTTGAGCAGGCTTGTTGGCTGAATGGCGAGATGGTCGTCATGAGAAATGATCAAAATTGGCCGAGCTCTCGGAAGACGCAAGATTGTGTCTCGAATGTGGAGGATGAGGCAAGTGTCTGTTGCAACACAATTGTCTCATCCTCATTGCATGTCTACAAAACGGACACAAGTAGACAACCGTTTGTGCAAGGTCAGCACGGAAACAGAGACTCGACGAGTTGAGCCGATGGAAGAAGAGCGTGTCAACGAGTGTCGGGTTGGCCGGCAACTGGTTGGCTCCGGTCGGTACAACACCGAGGCGTTGTGTTCCTTTCGGTCTGGGAAAGGTCGCGACGCTCGAGCCACGAAGCCTCAGCAACCGGCGGCCGAGCTGAAGCGAACGTGAAGGGTTACTGAAGGGACTCGGGAAGCAAAGTGGACTGATTTGGACACGCTTACAGTCGCCTGATCTTATTTGACCCGAGCTGATCCGGTTCCAGTCCGACCGGTTTGGTGGAACTCATTCCGAGCCCCAGAGCGTGGAGGTTTCTGGCAGTGGACGAAGGCAGATGGCTCGAGGCTTCGAGGCTGAACCCCACCCAGCATCGCTAACTCTACTCAGAACAGAGTGAGTATGTGTGCAAATGAGTATGAATTTGAGTGTGAGTGTGAATGAGCGTGTGAACGTGAACGTGAAAATGAATGCAAATGTGAGCGAGATGGGACAAAAAGAGTGCAGAGGCCGACGGCAGCACCTTTTGCTGATTCGGCGGGGCTGCGCTTCGTGCCTCCACACAATTTTTGCGCGCCTGCTGTGCTGTCACTTTTGATACTACTTAAATATGTGTTGTAAGTAGCAGGGTGAACGTCGTGTCAGATGGCGAGACCTGCTGCCGCCTGTACCTACATGCCTTCGCATTGATGCTGCAATGATGAGGCTCCAATGAAGCGGCAAAGGCGTCACGATGATATCATAAAGATGACACATCGGTACCACCCAGCTGTCCAGATATTATCTAAATCATGCCACAAAGATACGAAGAGAAACTGGGTCTCGATGAATCTCCTGAGATGACATTGTTAGAGGGACCTTCATTTCGTATGAAAGTGCATGAAGAAGAGAT